AGTTTATGGCTGCTCCTCGCTCCACTCATTATGCAGCAGTACTTCGCATCATTCGCTATGTTAAGGGAACATTATTTCATGGACTCCATTTTTCTGCCAACTCCTCCCCTGTGCTTCGCGCTTACTCTAATGCTGATTGGGCCGGTGATCCTTCTGATTGTAGATCTACCACCAGTTACTGTCTTTTCCTTGGTAATTCTCTCATCTTTTGGCGGAGTAAGAAACAAGCTATTCCATCTCGCTCTAGTACAGAAGCTGAGTATAGAGCTCTCAGGGATACCACATCAGAACTTCTTTCATTACGGTGGCTTCTTGAAGATATGGGCATTCCTCGACCTTCTTTTACTGATTTATATTGTGATAATCAAAGTGCTATGCAGATTGCTCATAATGATGTCTTTCATGAACGCACTAAACACATTGAGGTTGATTGTCACTTTATTCGCCATCATGTTGCACAAGGAACTGTTCATTTGGTTTTCATTGGCTCCGCTAATCAACCAGCAGATCTCTTTACCAAGGCTCATTTTCGTGGACGCTTTCGTACTCTTCTTTCCAAACTCAAGTTGGTTTCATCACAACCAACTTGAGTTTGAGGGGGAATGTTAAAATGTGAACATAATTATATTTAGAATTATTGTAAATATTTTATACTTTAAAATATTTTATTCGTATACTTTATACCTTAGAATATTCTCTTTGTAAACATCTATATATAGGTCATTGTACATACAGTATAATTTAAGAAAGCAATAAACATTTCTTCATATATTTCTCCTTCTTTTCAGTTTCTAACAGTTATAATTTTATTAAGTTGTTAAATTAAGAAATTAATATTGAAAAAGTTAGTGATAAAATTTTTTCTTTAAAAAAATGTAGGCAGAAAACATTATTTATCAAAATTTGCGTAAATAAAAATAAAGACCAAAATGACAAAAAAAAAAAATTAAAGATGCAAATGCTACATTTGTTTAATACCAAAACACTCTTACCATTTAATAAAATTGCCAGGGAATGACCTAAACACGGCGTAGAGTAAAGCTGATGCACCAGCAATAGGGTCAAAGTCCAAAACCATGAACTGCTATGGTCATCCCGATAATTTTTTAGAAATAATATTTTTATATAATTAATATATATTATTAAATAAATAAATAAATTATAACACATAAAATTATATTAAAAA